GTTTTGAACCAACTTGGTGTGGACTGGTTGGGTTAGATATTGGTTTGGTTAGATCTTAGGTGAGTATTAAAATAAACCCGTGCCAAGTTGGGCTTTATAACCCAAGAGAAGTTGTATTCTTCCTTCATTTGTTCGACTAGTTTGAAAATATCAGCAGCTGGTTAAAGCTTTCAAACCCTATGCATTCCAAACCGACAACTAATTTATGGCGATGGTCGTGGATGATGATCAAACCGAACCCACCATGGTTATCTCCTTCCCCTAACTTCGTTGGTTCGAATTTTAAACCCTTGTGAATAACATGTTCCATCAACAAATGGGGCCGACAGTGATGGGGATTGTCAGCATCAAAGATTTTGGCGAGATGACAATGACATTTCTTATTTTATTCTTACAAAAGAGGAACAATAGGAAAAGAGTGATGAAGATGATGGTGAGATTGTGACATTTTTCAAATGTTGCAATGACAAACAATAGTCTTACGACTTACAAGGCTGCACAATAATACTCAGAGAAAACGAATTACCGGCAATACCAAGGTAGTGGCGTTGTGGTAATCAAGGATCAAAATTTCGTTTAAAATTCGTTTCGATGCATTGTTTCAGTGAGCATGAAAATGGAAATATTTTGAAAATAATATAGAAAACAAGAAAAATTTGAAAATTTATTTCTCCTACAGTCCTATATTGATCGGAATATATCGAAACATAGGTCGAAATATGCCAAAACACCTCAAAACCTACTAAAATATCTTGAAACCTATCAAATATCTTGAAACATAGAAATTTTAATATTCAATCAATAATTCGTTTCTGTTTTTATGAAAACAAAAAATGTTTTGAAACGAAATTTAGTTCCTTGTTGGTAATAAACTTAGCTCTGATACTGTGAAAACTTAAATAAGACCTAGGAAGCATGGGTACATATACGAGATACGAGTATGATACGGATACGACGATACGTCAAAACCCAAAAAATAGAATATGAGTATGGCCGAGATACGTTTATAAATTTATATATTTTATGTTTTTACTATTATGTAATGACATAATAGCTATAATTTTTAGATATTTTTTAACAATAATAAAAAACATTAACAATTTTTTATTTTCAAAAAATTATCTATCGTCTCATCATGTCTATAAAGTGAACATGATTAATTAAAAGAATAAGAATCAACATTTAACTATATTGTTTGTTTAGAAGTAGTTGTTGTTAAGATTATTGAGTAATCAACTTATTTAAACTCTTTGAACATGGATAATACTTGGAAAACACCTATGTGTATTCCAAGTCATATGAACTTTTGTTGATGTATGATTGTATGTGAAATCAAAAGGAAGATGTAAAGATTAAAACTAAAAATCACACATACTTCTCTGTATATAGAAATATCCGCGAAGTATCCATATATTTTATTTATTATTAACGTTTAGTGAGTATCCAATACGTATTCTCGAGTATCCGACAAGTATCATATCCGATATGATATTCAGTACGGATACATCAACCTTAACGAAGTATCCGTGCTTTATAGAATAAGACTATTCCAAGAACACAATATGTATTAAAGAAAGAAAACAAAAAATTATTAGCAACACTCAAAAAATCCAACATAATGGGAAAAAACTACAAGAGAGAATATAATTTCCTACAAATAAAAAAGGTCAGAGTCGCCGTTAATGAAATATATGAAGATAATAGATACAATCTTACAACAACTACAACCCAAATACATAATGTAGGAGTGTTACAGCTTGGGACTCCTGAAGGGTCTGTGCTATCATTTGAGACTCGCAAGGGAAGGACCATGTTGCTTACTCAAGTTATGTTCTACATTATTAGTTCTCTAGTCTCCAAACCAACATTTTCCATTGATCTCCCATTGTGGTATGGGTATTGTACTTTTTATGGGAGTCTCTCTTGATCTTGAGTCTTGAATACTCCAAGATGCTGAAGAGCCATACATTCAAAGCTTGCTCAAGCAACATAAGTCTTCAAAGCTGTGTATAGTTTGAGGCTTACATACTAGGCTCACATATTGGAGGTGCTGCTACACTTCTTGTCGTAGGTGGGACTCAATTCCTCATCCGAGGCAAGACACCACCTCCCAATCCATGTGCTCTAGGCAGGAAGAGCAATTGGATTTCATTAGGAGTGTATGCCTATATATGTAGTGGATGATACTTGAGGATAGACGGTTGTTCCTCGATTACTCTCCCTCCGGATCCCTATGCCATCAGAGGATTTAATTGGAGGTTTGCTGGACTTACACTTTGTTCTATATGCATAGATCTCATGGGGGACCGGTGTCTTGCAAGGAAGGGTATAAACTTGTCAACTGAGGCCGCCACTGACTATTTCAATGCTACATATGAGTCAGAGATGGTTACATGTTGGGTCCGGGGAGGCATATAAGTGAGAGTTGTCTTCTTAGATATGTAGCACAAACAGCGACATTGTATAGCAGTTTAGTATATTAGAGTAGTTTAGTATATTAATATTAGGGGTAGTATAGTCATTTCATTGCTTTTTGCTGCCCCATTATATAAGGGCCTTTGTTGTGTATCTTAGGTCTCAGTGTTGTTGCACAACCTAATTGTGCCGTAATAATAGTTTTTCTTTCTCCGTTCTTCTTTCTTTGATCAAATCTAACAAGAAACACTTTTTGGTGTCTGAATTTGCTGCTGAGTATTTGCCAGGTGGGGACTCAGGTGAGAAAATGGAAGTGTCAGGATGCCATATCTTTGCACATCACATCTTTCTCTTAGAAGTTAATGGGTATAAGAAAACTATCAAAGAAATGCACGAGTGTGGATTTGTATAAGTGGCATGTGGCCATATAGTATTTCATCAATATTTACAAGGAGCTGCTACATCTAAGATTCAGGAAAAGAACTCAAGTGTGTAAGAAATATATGTGAGGAGACCAGATTATAGCATTGCCTTCTTTATGTTTTGTTTTATTTTATCATATCTGCAGCGGTTAGTGTACTTATGGATAACCTTTTCCTATATACATAGTTCAAAATATCGGCCGATACTGATACCGATACAAGTCGGCCGAGTTGTATTTGACTTGACACTTTTCGAGATGATACCGTTATACAATACGAAAAAACCTTGAGTCTCACACAACTCTGCTGAGTCATCTGAGTTGCCAAGTTATTGTTACTGAATCGGTCAATACAGTTTCATGACCTCGTCGTATGACTTGAGTCAAGTCTCTCGTCATATTTAACATTTTTTTTAGGTCGTATTGCTTGATATCGTGCCGCGATGGATATGTCTTAGAGCCCTTCAAGTCTCCAAATCGATGGTTGATACTGCAACCTTGAACCATGCCTATGTAATCATGAAAAATGATGGTTGTAAGGTGGGCTTCAGTTCTCTACATAAAGATTTCCTTATCTTCTTTCTCCTCCACCCCCACCGCGCACAATTGATGACATTTCATCTTTACAGTCTTAACTGAAATCTATCGTGTAGGACGGCCTTATAAAGTTTATGTGATACTGTAAAATATTAGTTTAAGGTGTTGAGAGTTTATAAGGTGGTTTTTTTTCTCTGCGAGTGCTCAAGCCCATTCTGGGAAGGCCCAAAAAATATAGTCCCCACCCTACACCACTTGTTGTATAGCATTGGAGCACCATTAACAGCTGGTTGAGCAGGTCACTTAATTAGCATTTGTATTACCGTCACTATCAAAAATCTTTGTCTCTAGAATATATCCCGGCAAATTCTTATATGATTATAGCCCATCTTGGTCTGCGTCATAAATTTACCTTTTCATCAATCCTTCTATTTTAGCTGTTGGTATCATGTGGGCTCTAAATTGACTTTTTCTTTGTAAATCAGAGATATATTTCCCAGGCATGTTAGACTGTTTGTTCAGAATGATGCTGTGGCAGCTCTTGCCAGTGGGACAATGGGAAAGCCTCATGGATGTGTTTTAATTGCTGGTACAGGAACCATTGCTTATGGATTTACAGAAGATGGGAGAAAAGCTCGGCTGCTGGTGCAGGACCCATCTTAGGTGATTGGGGAAGGTATACTTTTGATTGATGTTCAATTTTGAATAAAGAGATGAAAAATAGAAAAGGAAGACAAAGGAGCACCATCATGTATTGTGGTTTGGTCCTTCTACATTCATGGCACACAACCCTAAAGGACTACATTTTCATTATTCTTGGCTGTGTACATGTTTCACACATATATTAATAAGGTCAAGAAATCATTGGACAATGAAAGAATCAATTTGATTGATTGAGCAAATCAAGAAATCTAACTTGTGATTCACGTTTCAATAATCGATCTCAGTAACTATACCGATCATGTGATTTGATTGTCTTGAACAATCAACCATGGGATCTTCAACAACTGCTCTCTCTCTCTCCCCTTGGTTGTATAAGAATATAATTGGTAATCTTGGGAAAGAGGTAGAAACCAAATGCCCGTCTGGTACACTTCTGGAATAAAAACAAGTAAAAGCAATCAGCCAATAATGGCCTGGTCCTAAATTATTGCAATAGTAGAGAGTGTGTTTTGATGTATTGATAGCCAATATCAGATCTATGAAACAATCTGTCTCATATTTAATGTTTAGGTAAACGTTTTAAAATTTTATGGGAAGCCTAATTTTGGTCTTTCTTTACAAAAAAATCCTTTGGAAAGTTAAATATGAGGTAATTTGAACATATGTCGATACGTATATTAAAAATGGTTGACATCTGTAACACGTATTAGTTTTAGTTTTTAGATTGACAGTTTCATTACTTACACTAGAACTTGGACATGAGGCAATTAGAAGACATCTTTCGGTAAGCCAATATCAGCCTCTAGAGCATTGTAAGAGTTAGGATCATTGCGACAAGATCAAGAAGATCGTCTGTCGAGCTTTGGTCGAGAGACATCAGAGCATTGTAGGAGTTAGGATCATTGCGACAAGATCAAGAAGATCGTCTGTCGAGCTTTGGTCGAGAGACATCAATTACTTCTGGAAGAGTTCAAGCTGGAGCAGTGTTTAGGTCCTTAGGTGTCACATTTTAAGTTAGGCACATGTCCCTAGGATAGGTTGGTGAGTTCCAGACTGAAGAAAAGTGAAAAATCAAATTCTGGAACCAGGCCCATTCAGCTGGACCACTTATTTTTTGAGAAAAGAAAAAATCTATCATTAGATAGCCGATAGTGAACCACAGGTGTCACCAAATTAGATTTCTTGGGGGTGGTTTTCTGATGTTTTGAGTTCTCAAACAATGTATAAACAGTAAATAACGTTTCTAGGGTGATTTGGAAGATGTTATAGTGAATTGCATAAATTCCAGAACAATCACAATCCTCACAAACCCAACAAGATATAGGAGTTGTGGGCTATTACTAGTGTGGTATAGTTGCTTTTGTTTTTGGTAGTTAAGAGCTCTTTGCCTCACATCTGCAGGCAATTCTACAGATATTGTCACGACTGAATCTTATTCTCAGTTGCTGAACAAGAAGAGTGACAACAACAAATAAATGGAAAATATGTTGACCGGGTTAAATGTGTGTGATCAACTTCAACCCAAAGTCTTAAACATGTCCAAAAGACGAGTTGCTAGTTTTTATTTGGGGATGTTAAATTACATTACTCATGGTTTTTTTTCTTAAACAAGTTGACATTAAACAAGGAAGATAGAGTACACCCAAACAATATCGTCTAAAGTCTTTGAATATGAAAGCTGTTCTGGGTTGAGCGATGCTAAAACAGAGTCCAATTTTATTGTGGCCACAGTTTAGCCTCTGCATTTGAGGGATTTAGGAATGTCTTTCCAATGAGTGAGGACTGAATGATGCATTTTGTGGAGTTTTCCTTTAATATGGTCTCTGAGCTATGCTGTTATGCTAGCGTTGTTAATTTTGTTGTAAATGCAAATCCAATTCATGAATTTTGTGGAGTATCCAGCTGTGTGGTTATGCTTAGCTGATTTTAAACATTTGACAGCTACTCATTTAAGTTATGCATATTTGATCTTACAATGAGGAGTTTTTAAAATCAACCTGCCCTTGTATTTTCTTGTCTTCAATTTTTGATGAATTTTGGGAAAAAAATGTTCTGTTTACTTGCAGTGGATATGGTATAGCTGCACAGGCATTGACTGCAGTAATAAGGGATCATGATGGTCGTGGTCCGCATACGACGCTTACACGTAGTATACTACAGGCGCTTAATCTTTCTTCTCCAGATGAACTTATTGGGTAATTGTTCAAAAGCTTAGGATCAACATCATAACATATGCTTGCAGTTACAATGTTCATTTTCTACCTAATATTCTAATGTACAAATGCATACTCAAATATATGTACATAAATGCATAACACTGGTGTGTTTCATAAATCTGGTTACTGTAGAGGCATTTCCTTCCATCAAAATGGCGGAGAAGGAAATCTTTGGTTGAGTAATGAATGTTATTGGGACACTAAAATCGTTTCATATGGCTAAAATATAGGATGAAAAATGATTTACCTATTTGTGTAGTTCTGTATTCGCATTAATATGTTTGATTTGGTGTTTGTGAAGTATGATGATGTATAAATGTGATGCTACACATACACACTTACGCTAAATACACTTATACATATATCCATACATAGATAGGAGAATTTCTTGAACTTTACAAAACATGTGGAAGCAGTTTGATTGATATTCGTGAAGCAGTACTTCTTGTTTCTCGCTATTTTGCCTTCAACATATTCTGTAGTGTCATGTGCTTTTGAGTGAAATATGATTTGAGTTGACAAAATTTTGTCAGTAGAGTAATGTTTTGAAAAAATTTCGTACGAGAAACGAAGTACTTCAAGACATGGTCTCTTTGTAGTGCTTGTATTGATTTTTCACTAGATAAGTTTTTTTAGCTGAATTTAACTTATGTACTTGGAAAGGATGATGGGTTTACAAATGTTTATTTTCTTCATTTAGGTGGACCTATGCAGACCCATCTTGGGCTCGAATTGCAGCTCTTGTTCCAGTTGTAGTATGTTGTGCAGAGGCGGGTGATGAAGTTGCGACTAACATCTTGCTAGATGCAGTTCAAGCGTTAGCTTCAAGTGTTAAAGCTGTTGTTCAAAGACTGGGTTTGAGTGGTGAAGGTGAGACATTAAACCAATTATGTTTTCAACTTCACCCCCAGTTATAGCGAATATAACATATGTTCTATAATCTTGGCCTTTATTAAACATGATGGAGGCAAGGCTAGATTGTAAAGGCTCTCTGTTAAGTTGACATTGTTATTAACTGCTGTATCTTGTATCTAGAGGGCATCCAAGTGACCTTTATACCAGAGGTCTGAAATCCAAATCACTCAAGGTAGAGTAGGATTTGGTATAGTCTGAAGGTTCAGTGTTGTATTTTCTTCCCCACCTACGTATGTCAAACATGTATCTTATAGTAGTCTGGAAGTGTTTGGCACAAAGTCAAGAGAAAAATTTTGTTTATAATCTAAGGACATATGCAAAACCATCTGAAAATGTATTCTGTCCGATAATATATAGCCCCTATACAAAAGTTTACATCTTGATTCAATTTTAAGATTTTCTTCAGAGAAATAATAACTACATAACCAAACCTTTTTCTTTCCAAAATTTCTTATTATCTTGGATTTTTCACAATTCGTGATTTTCTTTTTCTGATTGTATATCTATTTTCTGAAAAGGGAAGTCATAACTATTGCCACTACAACCCCCCCCCCCCCCCAAAAAAAAAAAAAAAAAAAAAACCTGCTGTTAGGTTATTGAAATAAAACAACCTTTCATTGTTGTCTCTAAATTAATCTCCTTAAGCATGATCATGGATTCAAGGACTCTTATTATGTTGCAGATATGTATATGCCAAACCTGGTAAGGTTTTGGATAACATTGCTCTGCGTTTGCCATTCATTTCTACGTTATCTTGGGCTTTCTTATAATTACTTTTTATCTATCTTGCCTTCACTGTTTGATGTTTACATTTCTGATTAGTTTCTTTGGCTATCAACTATCTATATAATAAGAGAGCTAGGCATTTGAATTTTATCCCCACATATTTTTCGCATTTGAATTTTATTTTTCCCCCTCATCTCTATCACATCACCCTTCCCCCCTTATTGAAAGTGTGTATTATATGCCTGCCCATTTCTGCTATTTCTTAAGAGTTGAAATATACTTTTTGAAAACACATTTTCATCCAGCATGGAGTGGCCAGAATATTTTATGAACTTCTCAGACTGACTAGATAGTGCTTTTCTAATTTATTTAGGAAGCTAGAATTCCTGTCCCTTTCTAGTTGCACCATAGGTTTCCCTGGCAGTTCACTGATGACTTGTTTACACATTTTGAAAATATTGATTGCAGATGGGCAGTCTTCTTTTCCTCTTGTCCTGGTTGGTGGTGTTCTTGAACCCAATAAGAGGTGGAATATAGGGAAAGAAGTAATGAATTGTATTTCCAACGAGTTTCCAGGGGTTCGTCTAATTTGGCCAAAGGTAAGCTCCTTCTACTTAGCGTTTGTGGTTAATAAGGTATCATTTGTATAAGATATTTTGCTTTTGTTAGCAACATAATCTTGTATAATTTCACTTGATTTAGGTACAATTATCATTATGTGAAACAGAACTGTAGTAAAGCCAACAAACCAATATTTAGATGACTATCACATCCACTTCTAAAACAGCTGTGAATATTTTTGTGAATTCTGAACATGCAATTGAAGCTGGATTATTGCACCGTCAGCTAGTGTTATAAGAATTCTATTCTGACTCAATTATTTGGTCATGTATGGTGATGAAAATTGTACCTGGATAAAGTATATACTCATATACAATTGAGTTATATTTATACTCTACTTGATACTGATCTATTACAATTTTGAAAAAGTCCTTGAAGGGGGTGGATGGGACTCTCAATATTGTGTTTCTCTCAATGTCTTAACTATAACTATGTACACATAAGTGATCCAAGAGTATTTTGGTCAATCCACTTAATGTCGCTCAGCCATTGGTCACTTTTGCACTGTTGTTATATATGCACAACTTAAATTATGAGCCTAAGCTATTAAGTGCACGTGTAAGATGCTCAATTGGCAGTAGTTCACTATGTATGTTTTGATTATGATTTTCCTGGCTTTCATAATTTGTTCTCCTCGAACAGAAACTCTATTGAGTGTGTGCCATTTTGAAAAGTGTTAGAATTGTCTCAAAGAGTAGGAAAGTGAAATAAATACAAACTTGCATTCAATGTTTTTCAATACAAACTAACAAGATATCAATACATACTTGACATTTGCTTCGCATATATTTTTTACTAAAAATAAATGTAAAGCATGAAAGAACAATTAGCAATGGATGAAAAGGCACCCCACCAACTCCTAAGGAGGTTGCTCTTGATCCAATGAAGAACTTTCCGCACTCCAGACAACTAGGAAATGAAATCTTTTGCGTTTACCTATTGGTAAGTGAGCTGTTTGTTGTTGTTGGCATGTTAGATTAAAACCAGGTTGATGAAAAGAAAAAAAAAAAAGAAACCAAGTTGCATCTTTCAATGGTGGTATTAATAGTTTGCTTAGTGAATAGTGAAATGTTTCTTCGCTCTGGGATTTTATTTTTTCTTTTGCCTGCATAAAGCCAAAAGACCAAATTAACCTACCTCACTCGCTTAGGAGGAACAATTTAGACCATCTGCTCTCTAACGCATTACATTTTTTCGTTATATTTTTTTTGGGTTTAATCTAATTACAATTTTCTGTGTGTTTTTGTGGGTTGAATCAGGTGGAACCTGCAATAGGAGCAGCATTGCTTGCTTGGAATTTTTTATGAGACATTGGCGACAGCAAGCCTTTAGAAGTTGACTGTTGATCATTCTAAATGGTTTGTATAGCAGGAAAGAAAAAGAACAAAAAAAAAATAAAGAGAAAATAACAATGATTGTTTTTCCAAGTGTGGGGATAATTTTCTTATTTTTTTTTCTTGGTGAGTATAGTCTATTTTAGTCTTATGTTAGTAGACTGATTTAAGTTGAAATTGTAAATGTTCTATACGGAAAAAAGAAAAAAAAAAGTTTTGAAAAGAGTGAGTGAAAACAGGTGATTTGTGTTAGATACCCATGTTGCTTGTGTTGCATTTGGCCATTTTTTGTTTTTAAGTTTCTATTTGTAAGCATCTTTGTGTAAAGCATTGGGTTTTATTTGATTATTGTTTTATGAAATGTAAGATAAATACAGTTTTTTGGTCATTTGGAGATCATTTAGGATTCATTTGGTTAACAAGAGAAAACTAAGAAAATGCATGAAAGAGAAAAGTAATTTTTTTTTTTTTTGTAAATTTGTTTAACAAACAAATTATACCCAAGAATTCTATATTTCTCCTGATCTCCTTATTCACTTTGCCCGTGTTTTGCTCCGTAGGCACAATTCTCCAACAACTGAAACTCTAACCAAACTCCCTTTTGTGTGTGGGTTTTATGGATCTCCTGTATCAATTGGACTAAGAGTAAAATAAGGTTATATTGCCTTACAACCAGTAGTTGAAAGACAGTGTTTCTGGCCCATAGTTGTATTTAGTAAGTTGGATAGTTCAATTCCAATCTTTCAGTTTAGGATTTCTTAAGCGATATCAAGAGTCCTGCTAGCCAGAGACCGAAACTGATACTTAGCTTGAGTTTGAGACTGAACTCTCTCTCTCTCTCTCTCTCTCACACACACACACACACAAGCCCAAGTGCACAGGTCAATCTCAAGCATGCAAATGATAACCAAAAAGAAAAAGAGGCACAAGTGGCCTAAAAATAATAGCAGCTAAACTTAAAGGAAGACTTTCACTAATGTTGCAATGGCGCCAGGCTATAATTAGTTTGTTAAGTGTTGGATTTTGCCAATGTTTATTGATCATTTATGACCCAAATAGAAGAACTAATGAAAAGTTTGATAAACTATATATCTGGGGAGTTAATGAAATTATTTTAGTAATATTTAATTGTTTTAATTCTCGTACAATCACACCAAAAACTCGAGTTTCTCATCTTGAATTGGTCAAAGTATGCATACCTTCTTATTTTTCGTAAAGGACTAGGTCTAGTAATTGGGGGTCTATGACTGGCCAATATAGAACACCATCATTTAGCTCTTGCAATTCTTCTTGCACCAAAGATCTTACCATTTTCGAAAGAAGTAGAATTACAATGCTTTTCCATTTTTATTCAATTCTTTGTGTTTTTATGCATCCTTTATACTATTTATCCCCTCTTCTACACTTTAGTTGGTAGCATAGCATGTATACTAAAAAGGTTTAACAATTAGCGTATGATCTAAATTATTTCATATGCGTTTGATGTGAAAAAAATAGTAAAATGCGAGGTTTCTAGAATCTCATTAAAAAATATCTCTAAGAATCGCAAACCAACTAAGCTAGGCCTAGCCTAGACTGTTACCTTCGATTCTCCTCCAATTCTCTAGTTCAAGAGATCAACGTGAAGGATTAATTTCTCATGCCCCACCCTTTAAAGGTTCTATTACACCACCCTCTTTTCGAGTTTTTCTTTACTCTATTTATGTCTGTTTTCTGATATGTTATAAATGCATTAAATTATTACGGTTGATTTTCTAATATAATAGTGATTTAGTTGTGTTTCTAGAAAAAAAATTTAAGGAAGAATTTTGTGACCTTGAAGAAAATATTGCTACATTAATGAATATAAATTAGGTGTCATTTTTCTGTATTAAATATTCATAGAATTGATAATGGTGTAACATGGTTGAATTTATGGAAGAGGAAAATATTCTAAAGATTTTTTTTTTTTTCTCTTTTCTTGAAGTAGGTATGTGATGGGACCTATACATAGGTAATTTACCGATAACTATGAGTCAAAAGGTAGCGGCACCTTTAGGGGAAATTAAGACTTGCAGTTGTCCAAATTCCGCATTTACTATGACAAACTCCCATAGGCTATAGGTAGGTATGCCAAAATTGGACAACACATGATTAATTGAAACGAATCAATACGAATTAAACAGTTTTTAGTGATATTTTAATATGTTTAGGTGATAAACGGATTAATCTGTCAAACACATTTAATAAACGGAAATAAAACCTGTCAAATAGTTTATCACATATTTATCTGTTTAAATAAAATTAATATAATAATAAATTAATAATTATTTAAAAAAATTAGGCAAAAAAAAAAAAAGAAATTAAGACAAAAAAAAAAGAAGTAAAGTAGTAGTTTAACAAAGGAGGGGAGATGAGGAGTAGTTCATAACAATGGTAAACCAACATTTTTAGTTTTTGCCCCACATCGATAAGTGAGGGAAGATGGAGAAGGGTGTCTTGCCTATAAAATGTGACTTCTTGCCTTATTTTTTTTAGCCTTCAAGTCTGATTTTTATGTGAGATTTGACTAAAAATTCATCTTTTTTAAAGTAAATACAATTGACAAAAAAAAAAGTGAAGTATTTAAATTTGTTAATATAATTTTTTTAAAATTAAACGGGTTTAAACAAGTCGTGTCCAGTTACTCGTTTATTAAACGGGTCATGTTCGTGTTGAGATTTTTTATCCATTTATTAAACGTGTCGTGTACGGGTTTATATGTTTTTCACCTGCCACCCATTTAATCCAACACGTAATCGTTTAACACGACACGTTTGACACCCCTGACTATACAGATTTATCCCTCATAAATTATTTAATTTTGTCGTGGATGACCTGTATTTGATTAAATTGAGGAGGTGATTAATTCGAATGCACGTAAACTGGTCAAGATATTTTTGACTGCAGTACCAAAAAAAAATAAAAATTTATGGAGTAAATGATAAATAATTAGGGGTAACCCGAACTTGAAGACACGGTGTAATGTGAATAGTTTTGAGAGTGATATTGATAACCATTAGATGAGTCTATTTGAAACCGTCGAATAAAGTTATTGAAATCTGTTCTGTTTTATATTATAAATATACCAAAAAAATTAGTGAGTTTTTTTCAATTTTATCGTCTACTTTTCATTTAATTTAAATATTATCGTTTTTTTTTTGAAGATGTAATTTTTATTTTTGACATGGTTCCTCGGTTCAATATCTCCAATGTTATTTTTTTGTGATATAAATTACTTGATGTTATCTTTCAGTAGTTCCATATTCTTTTGATTGTTGCAAGAAAAAGTTACAAGAAGCTTACCTCTTTTTTTCAGTGGTGATTGGTGGTATGCTGTTTTTTAGTGGCTCATTATGACATTATTTCACCTGTGAGTGCTCATTATGGCTTAAATAGGACAAACAAAGAATAATAACCGTACAAAATGAACTGACTGAGTCTAAATAATTAAATTATTTTACATATAAACGAATTAAATCTTTTAAGTTCATTTTTATAAAACGAACTTATTCAAATTAGACGAAAATAAAAGGAGCTCAAATTGTAGGGGTGCAACTCGGGAGGGTTAGATGGGTTGAAAGGTCAACCCTAGTCTAACCCTAAGTATTTAATCTTCAATCTTAATCTTAATCTTAACCCTACATCAACTCGAGATACTCAACTCAAGTTTAATTCGGGCGAATTTAAGCTACTTAATTAGGGTTAATTTCGAATTAAAAATCGGGTTGACTCGGATTATTTAATTTAGGTTGATAAAAGAGGGAGGAGTGACAAGTGAGAAAGAGAGGTTGAGAGTTTGAAACCAGATGCGTGACGAGTGAGAAAAGGGATTTGAGAGTGATGAAGGCGTAGAAGTGAAGACTTGAAATGAAGTGAAAATTTGGACTCTAAAGAGTGAAGATAAATACTAACCGTAGTTAAATTTATTTATATATTTATGTATATTTGAGTTCAACCCGAAACTTGCCCGAATTCAATTAAGATTAAAATTTTTTTTTTGGTCTAACCCAAATATTAAAAATTTTAACCAAAATTCTATTTTTTTCGAGCTAGACTCGAGTTAAATTTAAATTCGTCCGTTCGAGTTGCATCCCATCAAATTGAACCTAAAAAAACCAAAACACGGGTAGTATTACTCTTTTCTAGATACCCAATGATTGCCTATATTTCAGAAAAAAAAACAAAAGAGCAAGAAAGATCGGTACGTGAACCTCTGCCACATGCCCACAGTTCATGCGGGCACGGTACCGGTGGCCTCCTAAAGCCATGTCCGTATGCCGAAAGGCGTTGGATTTTCTTCGCTAGGCTGACTAAAAGGTCCAATTATGCACCACCCAAAAAAAAAAAAAAGAATGAGTAAAGGGTCTAATTTTGGAAAAAATATTGTATATGACGGTGATATTACGCTATCATTATCAGATAATGTATTTATCTAATAAAAAGATAATAAATAAGTAAGTAGATTTCACATATTTTAGTAACCATCATGTCATGTCATTTAATAACTATCCAAATACCATCCGAGTTGATGATTTAATGGTAAGACGTACTCGTTTAGGATCATCATTGACTCTTATGTGAGTACGAGAGTACCAAACATGATTCAATTCACAGAATCGAGATGGTATGCTGCTTGGTTTTTGTGGTGTTATAGTGATGGACTACCCGTTCGGGTTAGTAATTATAATTCAAACCGGACATTCACCAATGGGAACCTCATAGTCACGTCTAAAAGGAGTTTACTACTTACTGGTCATTCCTCCCCCTTTTTTTTTTGGTAAAAAAATAATTATTCAAGTGAGATTCACTTTATTTATTTATAAATTTATTATTAAATGGAGACATCATGTGTTAATAATGATGTGTTGTCATCATTACACCCAATATTTATTCAGTAACAAAAATAATGATAATTTTCTTTTATTTTGTTCTAAAAAAAAAAATATGAATAA